CAGAAGATTAAAAAAATTACCCTGTCTAGGCGTTGTTCCAGCTGTTCAATGCTTTGTTCTTGTTCTTCCAGCGAGGCTCTAGACAAAATAGAAAAAATGTGAGTTAAGATTCAAACTACTTTTTCACACAAATCTCAAGGTTGAGACAAAGGCTGGTATCTTTGTACTGCATTAAATGGGAACATTGATAGAGAATAAACTATTACTTGAGTGAAACATCAGTATTTCAAACACAAGACAAAGTGATGAGATGATCCTACATTCAGTACATTTTAAGTAAGAGTGTTGAAGGCACTCAACAACAGACCATTCTTATTTTTACTACTGAATTTCGACTGACATTAATAGTTTGATAGGACATTTCAAGTAAACAATAGTATAGGTTATTGTCATCTTCTATCAAATTACCTAAACTTCGGTGAGTCACGAAGACATTCTTCAAACTCTATAATTGGCGTCATATTGCCACACATACAGAGACGAAAAGTCAATCCACAAGGTAAGAACGATACAACATTAAGGACTAAAATACGATCGAGTAAAAGTCGGCCACAGACAACACTTCGACACCGAAGTACATAATAATAATAAAAACTTAAGAGGGGTGGGTCAGGGACGAGGTGGAGGGGTGAAGGGGGTGATGTTAGCAGAACGCATCATTCGGCTGTCGGGAGAAAAGCCGAAGTGAGTCCGAAGCAGGCAGACGAAGTCACGCCGGAAACGAGGCAGCGAGAACGATGGCGGGCCATTTAAATTGGCGCTATTTTTATTTATTTAATGCGGCTCATGTCAGCAGAGCAGATGACCGGGACCCCTCCGATGTGAGTATAGTTCCTCTAAAGATATTCGTGAGATGGATCGTTCACTTAAAAGAAGTCTCATTTACTAAACCGTCATGACGAAAAGAGGGGCGGTGGTGGGGAAGGACCAATTTTCAAGAATCCGTGCGTGGTTGCAAAAGTTCGAACCGACGTTGCTGTTCTGGATTTTTGGAACGGCAAGCCGGTCCGTCGTGTCCCTTTAATCTCCTCCTTAGTTCCCTTCCTGAACGGCCTCGCCTCGCTCCGCCCCGCCCCGCCTCACCACCCCACCCCACCCCAGCCCGGTTTGGGGCTTAAGCGTGGCGGCGGCGGCGTGGCGGAGCGTGGCGCACCGGGCCGCCTCGCCTCGCATCGCCAGGGCATCATCGACGGCGCACCACACCGCCGCCCGGGCCCCGCCGCGCCAGCCGCACCAGCCGCACCGCGCCGTACAGCCGCGCCAGCCGCGCCGGCACCTGTGGAGTGTGTGGAGCAATACGACATTTCGCCGACACCACCCCGGACCTCGGAGGCCCCCAGCCGCCAGCCGAGCGGCCAGGATGGCGACGGACGTCCCCGACGAGCGCCGCCCCCGGCGCCACCCCCACTGACAACGGGCTGCTCTGCAACACTGCCAGGTAAGCCGCGGAGGCCGCTCCCGCCACAGCACCAGGACGACGGGCGCATAGCAGCACATAGTATGACGATAGGCCCAACTGGCGGCGACACCTCTTCCTAAATCGTGGGAGTGGTGAAGTCCGGAGGTGCGGTTGAAAGGGACATGCGCGGGACGGTTGTGTCCCGAAGGGGCACTGCCACCGGCACCGGCGGAGCTGTGTGAGATGGTGTATTGGAGTAGAGCACACCACCACATGTACCTAGCCGACCAGGTTTCGAGACGCATACACTAGAGAGGCTGTGCCATTTCACTGGTGAAAAGAGAAAAGGGCGTACGTCCAATATGCGAAGTCCGCGGACTTACGCCCTTTTCACTTTTCACCAGAGATTTCGGCAGTGCCGCACGCAGTGGAATGACTAAAAGAGTTTGTGTGAGCCTCCTCTCTGCGTGGTCGTTCAGACGGGTGCCTCGTAAGTAAGTATGGCACAGTGTGTGAGGGGGGGGGGGAGAACAATAGACAAACACATCTGCCGAGCCACGCCGCCGCTACACCGGGCGTAACGCCGGGCGCAGTTTCGAGTCCGTGACAGTCCACTGCGGTTTATGGACCCACGAGGAGATAACCGGCCCCCCATGTCACTCGGTTACGAGCGGTTATGCGTCCTATAGGGCCGCCACCAGAGCACGCCGACGCCGACCCTGCCGCTGAGCAACGAGGACGACGAGGAGGAGGAGGAGGCGATAGATTTCACATGGATGTTTCTGGAGTTTGAGACCGTCTGCTCGCGGCCCCGTGGGTGCAGCGCGGTATTGTCCCGGCCCGGCTGGGCGTGGGCGGCCGCGGGAAGAAGAGAAACAAAATTAACGATGAAGAGAGAGAGAGAGAGATTGAGGAGAGAAAAAAGCCGCTATGTCGATGGTAGATCGATCGGATCGGTCGGTAGGATGGGCCTCTCCAATGTAGAGCCGGCACCGGCTGGGCTGGCGATGCAAGTCCTCGCATCCAGCAAAGAAAGAAAGATAGAGCAGGGGGGGGAGAGAGAGAGAGAAAAAGGGGAGGGGGGGGGGGGGGGGGGAGAGGAGAAAGTGTGCTGGAGAAAAGAAAAAAATAACTGTAACTGCCCACTAGTTCAATGGCAATTGCGTTTGTTTGGTCTGCGTGGTCGTGCTGGGAACATTGTTGCATGCATGCAATGCGGTTCCCCGAAGGTCCCGAAGGACCCGGACGACCCGGAGGACCTATCGCGTGGCCACACCACGCCGCGCCTCGCCTCGTCTCGCCGCGCAATACCTGTGGCTCCGCGGGCTCCGCTGGGCTGGCCCAGAGGAGTCCTAGCCACCCGGGGGACTGACGCAACACTTGCGCGACGACCGAGCAATTTAGTTATAAAGGTGCCTTTGTATGGGAACCTCTTCTATCTCATTCAAAGTGTGCGTGATTAAAAAGTAGTAAGAAAACCCGTTTTCGTTTTTGCTACGATGAAAAATTTAAACGTGTGTCTCGCCCGCATATCGTATGTTCCGCATGCACGCGACGGGCTTCTATAGGGTGACCAGAGAGGGCCGGGCGGCGGGCAGGATCGAGTAGCGTGGGAGACAGGTCAGGGTACCAGGAGGGGGGGGGGGGCTGCGGTCAACCTCGCTGTCACTGTCTCTCGCGCGAGCGCCCGCCAACCACCTCTCGCTCTCTCTCATGAACCGCCAGGCTGCAGAGAGCTGCAGTGCTGCTGCTGGGCAGGCAGGACATTGCTGTCACGTTGTCACGTGGGTGGGTGGGAGAGGAAGGGGACCACGGGGCGGGGGGCGTCTCGAATTTCTATTGCACGAGCTTTTGCACTGCGACGCCCGGGTGGCGGCTGCTGCATGCTGCAGCAGCAGCGGCGCGCTCGCTGGCGCAGATTCCGACACTCGCGCCGGTGTATTTCTTTTTTAAAGTGGACCGAATTACTTATTTTCTGGTCCCAAGCGTCCATAGGAGAGGCAGCCCGCGCGTGTCCGTTCGTAGCGGGGCCCAGTGTAATTGCGCTCTGTCGAGCTCTCGATGACCGGTTATTACAGCCGCCTCCGCCGAGCTACGGCCGTGGCCGTGCTGCAGTCGGGGGCCGCCGTTCGACTCGCTGCAATCCCCAACTTAGTGCGTCATTTTCTGTGCGCGACGGACCTTGGCGCCTCTGTTTTGCGTACGCCAAACGCCAACTCATCTTGCCCCCTTTTTTTGGAGGAGCGGAGAGGAGCCGCCGCAGACTGCGCCTTCCTGGCATGCTGTACCGGATGCGGCCGTGTAGGTGGGTTGCCTACCCGGCGGGCGCTTTCCGGATCTCCGGAAGCCGTCGTCGGTGACATGTCGTCGTTGACGCCGGCGGGGTGACTCGTTTGCACACCACACACGAAGCAGCCACATCCGACACAATAAAGTACAGCTTCGAAAACGCGAAAGCAAGAGGGACCCGACTAGGGCTGTGAGGTGAAAATAACAAGATCCATCATGTTGTCAGCAGCAGAAGGACAGCCCGCCCGGGGCCAGACTCAGTAAGGCGCAGAGCCCCCGTCAGCGGCCGCGTGTCGCGCCCTCTCCGCACTGTACGCACGTAACTCCTGTCTTGGGCGGTCCTGGGCTGCATTCTCCAGAAGAATGCCGTGGAGTGGGCGTCCCAACCCGTCGTCGTGGTCGTCGTCGTGACGCCGTCCCGAGGGGCATACCTCTGCCCTGCCCGACGACGCGACGCCCACACACACCTTTAATTCCTCGTCCCGAGGTGTCCGGCCCGTCACTTCGCCCGCCGGGTCCAGTTATTAGCCGTGGCCGGTCTGGCAATTACCATGTTGTTGTTCTGCTCAAGGACGGACGGCACGGCACGGCCCGCGGCCGGCGACGAGGAGTGCACCGCGACGGGTGCGTGGCGCATTCCCTGGAGTGAGCAGAGTTTGTTCAGAGTGGCGGGGTGCGGCCCGGGTGTGCCGCACAGAGGCGCTGCTGTGGTGGGAGTTTCCTGGAGAGTAGGCAGCAGAGTCCTGGAGGAAGTCCGACCAAAGGGCTGCTGGAGCAGACAGAGCGGAGGGCCGCCGAGTCCGCGCGTCCCACCGCCGCCGCCAGGACCTCCGCTCGCCGCTCGTCATGGGATAGTCGTCAATTGAGGAAATGGAGGGGCCACTCCAGCGGCAGCAGGCCGACCAGGCCGACAGGCTCGCCGCGACGGGCAGGCGCAGCGTTAGAGAGGCGGCCCCCGGGGCCCCACCCGGCCGGCACGGCGACGGCGGTGGCTGGACCGGGGGCACCGGGGGCCGGGCCGTGGGTCCTGGCGGGAGGGGACTTGGGGCCTTGTCCCCGGGCGACACATCTCTACATCGGTGCCGTGGGTGCATATCGCCCGAAGAAGCATTGATCGTCGACCGCGCTGCGAGCGGCCGTGCTGGGCCGGGCGGAGGGCGGCCGATGTGCAGCGTAACGAAACGGAACGGGGCGGAACTGGGGCGGATTAGCATAGTGACGCGTCACGTCGGTAAACACATGCGGCCCACGGCGGCGACCTGGGCAGAGGAGGGCCTGGTGGCCAGCTGAGTGGGGCGTTGGGCGTTGGTGGGGCGGG